GTCCTGACCGCGTAGCTCAGTTGGAAGAGCATTGGGCTAGTATTCCAAAGGTCGTAGGTTCGAATCCCACCGTGGCCGGGCATATTTTTCAAGCTCGCCCGGTGTGGATATGCACTCAGAGTAACATCACAAACATACAAGTTAGAAATCTATTCATAAATATAGGTAATTATAGAGATAACGGAAAACAACGATTTTAACACGCGCGGTTGAGACGGTTGGCAAAATAACCATAAGACTTTAATATGAATTTTGGAACGGTTGACGGTTGACAGCATTGATGAAAAAAATAGCATTAAATATTTTTTTATTAAATATTTTTTTATAGAAGTGGCAGCCGATGTATCATCTCTTTCCGCGTCTGACATAATTTCTTGCGGAACTCCTTAATGATATATCGTAACACCTATACCCGCTTTCCTCAACATAAACAGCGACTAGCTGCTTCATTCACCTCACTATCGGCAGATGAAATGGCACCGTCTTTAATAAACATTCTAGATTGACTCTAGGGGCATAATTATCAACATGTTGTTGTTGTCCGTCATTCTGCGTGGTCGGAGTTTGGACATGTTCAGGTAGTTGCCGGGATTTCGTGGATCAGGGTAATGTTCTGGAACCTTAGAGAACCTCCCACTCACCCAACATATCGCCTGGAATCTGTTGCAAATTTCTTTGCATGCTTGTCAAAAATGCATGCAAAAGCGCCAGAATGTTTCAATTTCTTTAATTTTCATCTCGTTTGTACTAAATATCCCATGAACATAGAACATAGCATTCTTACAAATCATATGCTTTTCTGGTTTTTGGAATTGCTAGTCTTTGGCGGGTAAATTACTTCACAAGCCTGGCGCCAAAAATTTTAAACAAGCTGTAGGTGATTTCATGTATCCATTTAGAAAAGCAGACTAAGGATGTCTTAAAACTGAAATCGGTTTTCGATATACAACCATGAGGACCGTAGCGAAGCATCTGACGTTTGGCAAGAGGTGTCGGAGGATTTTACGTGAAATTTGAATATTTCAATGTTAAAAATTTACCTGAAGTGTAATAATTATAATAAAGCTTTTTGTGATTGATTGGCAGTGTCATAGGGGGTTTGGAGGTCCTCCTCCAAAACATTTTAACATTTTTGAAGCCCTATAGGACTGAATTTCTGGTGTTTTCTAAAGCAAATTAGCAAACAAATTGCATGTACCACTACTATGCCACTACTTTTTCTGTTTTGAACCACTACTTTTTCTCTTATATATTAATGACATTGAAAATTGTAGTGAAATTATTTCATTTGTTATGTATGCTGATGACACAAATGCTTTTTATTCTGATAAAAATCTGAAATCATTAACAAACATCATGCAAGAAGAAATGGTAAAGTAACTAATTGGCTTTAATGTGAATAAATTATCAATAAATACAACAAAAACTAAATATATTATTTTTATATCAAAGCAACAAGAAATGCGACCCTGAAATTAATATTCAACTAAATCGTAACACAATACAACAGGTTACTCATGTAAAATTTTTAGGTGTAATAATAGATCAAAATCTGACGTGGAAGAACCATATAAACTCGGTTTTGAAAAATATAATTAAAGCCACTGAACTTATTGCAAAACTACGACATTATACAAACAGAAATACGCTAAAATTAATTTATTATGCATTGGTTCATCCATTTCTTACATATGGGAATCTAACATGGGGAAACATACCCAACAAGGCTTCAAAAGTTGTACAAAAGAAATTATACCGAAGTTGTCCTCGTATATAGATCCTCACTCTAAATATTTATTATACACAAAAAACAATGCGAAATATATGAATTCACTTGTCTCAAACCCTGTCAATTGTCTCTTAACCTTGTCTATACTCTTGAACAATAACAAAGTCATTATACCATATATGGTAATGTTGCGCGTGTCTCCAAATATAGCTATTACTGTTCAGAGTTCGTCACACACTCCCCTAACAAATTTAAACGAATTATAAATTTTTAACAACAACATTCTACACAGTTATATTTACTTCCCTTAAATAGTCCTTCAACTGTTCTCTGATGTTAACTTTCGCGATCTTTGCTGCTTTCCGTTCTGGTCTTTTCTTTAATTTATCATCATTATCTTCAGTACTTTCGTCGTGTCTTCCTTGATCTTCCTTAACCACGCTCCTTATCTCCAAATGACATACCAGCTGAACAGGTCGTTCCAAATAGTTACCTTTATGTAATACAATAACTCCTCTAATTACACCGTCCTTTCCTTTCACGTACTTCAAAACTTTGCCTTTCATCCACCGTCCTCGGTTCTTTTCGTCCAAATCTCCGGTTTGCATATTGTCCTCGTCAGTCCCACTCTTCACCAACTTTGCTTTCTTGCTTTTCTCCAACTTTTCTTTCATTCTACTTTCGTCTGTAATTTTTCTTTTCTTTTTCTTACGTTCACTTGTCTTTTCAACACTACTAGTTTCTTTAGTGTTTCCCTGTGAAACAACATTACTTTTCACTTTCCCTTTCGTTTTTATGCCATTTTCCTCAAGGTTCTCTACTTCGTTTTCTTCTCTTTTCCTCTCAACATCATTTACTTCCTCAGTATGTCCTTTCGAAAGAACTTTTTTCTTCTTTCCTTTGATTTTCCTTTTCTTTTTTATGAGTTCTTCCCTGATGATGTTGTCAACCTTATCTCCTTTCAATTTCTTTCTTTTCTCTCTGCTCCCTTCATCATCCATCAATTCAAATGTTTCATCTTGGTCAGAATTATCGGAAACATTTTCGTCTTCATCACCTTGTCCTTCCTTTGTTTCTTCCGCAGTTACTGCCTTCAGTTTTCTCGACCGTTCTGGTGTATTTTCATGTCCCTCAGTTTCCTCATTCATGTCTTCTCTTTCTTTTCCATCGTTCAAAAACCATGGATTTTCCGAACTATCACCGACCAGTCCAAAATTTCTAAAATTCTCAAGAATCTCCGCGCTATCTTTGGCTTTATTTGCCTCCTCTCTGACAACATGTTTGTGGGGTATATGATATACTCGTTTACCATTCGGTTTCACTGGTGCACCTTCAATGATACCCGATTCTAATTGCTTCTCGATTGTTTCATCATAATTGTTGTTTACCTTCTCATCTCGCTCGATCTTTTTGCATACGTTAGCGATTAGCTTTCCACTTGGTTCTAGATTGCTATTTGGTAAAGACTGTCCTGGAATCGATGGTACTTTGACTTGATATCTACCGTCATCAGCCCGAGTAATGTTT